TAATGGTCACAAAGTAAACTTTCAATTGAAAGGCGATGGAGTCGAGTCATGACAGTACAGTCTGTTCTGGCCGAGTCAACGAGTCAAGGCCAGAAAAGAACGACTCCACCACGAAATAAAATGTAAACATAAAAGAAGAAATCACTCCACACTTTCAACACAAACAATGAAATAATCTACTGAAAGCCAGCTCAGCTTTTAAGGAATAAGTTCGCATTTTTTCAAGTGCGTCTCAAAACAATACTGACATCCCAATATGTGTTGAAAGATTTAATGGTCACAAAGTAAACTTTCTTTAAGCTATTTCAGCATTTTTAAATCAGCGACAAAACCCACAGTTATCATGAGACTTCAGTTAGTTCGTCCTTTTAGTATGAAAAATCCCTCTTCGTGTTAGTAGTCAGAACTCAGCAAATAAACAGTGATTAGTGGCTGTGACGCAGCTACTCACTAATATTTAAACTCCACTGTGGTTGGTGGACAGTTATCAGACAAGACTCGATGGCACAAATACGCCTTTGGAATAAACTGTGACCTTAACGTCCCATTAGCGAATAGCGACCGAGCTAAACTTCTCCAGGAGCTAACGTTACAGACGGGCTCAAAACTCCAACTAAACCTGTGAGTTTAGTCTCTACGTTACCAAAATTCTACACAGAATATGTTGCTGTACCAGAATCTGGTGTGACCAGGCTTGAAGTCAGAACGCTTCAGTTTCATTTCAGCTTCTACAACCACAAAAAATATGAAACTTTCCTTGAACTAAATGGACAAATCTCTTAGGCAAACAAAGTGGTGCGATCCTCCGTTATAGGACATAATACAAACTGTACGTCAACTCCAGATGTATCTACAAAATCTACAGTGTACATACACGTGGGCTACTGTCGTCTACGGCAAAGTAACAAATGTGCAAGAAGCAAAATCTATCAAAAATAGTCAAATCACTCAAATAAATTACATCCGATTAAATAAAATAAACCAACTACATTTATCTGTATGCTCTGCTAATAAAAATAAAGCTTCAAATGATTCATTTTTAACTCAATTCAACCACTGAGTGCTCGTTAGTGTGAGACAGAGGAGCCGGGCAGCAGCAGCAGGAGAGAGGGAGCGCAGTGTGTTTCACCATACATGGAGCGGAAACACAGGTTACACTGAGTCATAGACATGTGCCCGCCCCCCCCTCACATACACACATATACAAACAGTAGCGTCAAGTTGAGGACACGCATGTCCATATTCACAGCTAACGTCTCTCTCACACACACACACACACTCTTTATGTGCTTTCACACATTTCAGCCGACTACCAAAACACATTCAAGTGTCCATAAATAAGCCTCGTCTGTGATTTAAAAAGAAGAAAATATACAGATCCCGTTTTCACAACAGGCCTCTCTTGGCTTCACGCTTTTGGAAAAAACAAGTCAAAGTTATCTTGACAAGCGCTTGTTTAGAAAAGCGTCAGCTAGGCACCGTTTCATTCACAGCAGGCTGAAGCTAGACCCCTACGCTAATGCTGAGACACTTAAAACTAAACAGTCCCTTTGGAAAAGTGGTTGTAAACGTCAAAAAAATACAAAACGCACATCACTAAATCCCTACCTCTGTACCTAAATATACAGGTGTTAGTACAGTGACAGCCTTGTGATGGATAGCCAAGTCTCCAGCAGCAATTAGACGTTTTAGATCCACATTGGAAGAGTTCACTCTGCCAGTGCAGGCCCAGTTACCTGCACACACATACAGACGTCCATGCATGAGAGCAGCACTGGCAGCACTGGTCTTGTGTTTGTTTGGAGGTCTGAAGGGCTTCAGGTTGCTGGTGACGGGAGCGTCCCTGCAAAGCTGCTGTCGTCCATCACGGAGGTTCACTGTTGAGCCACAGTGATCGCTTCTGTCCACCAGATCTGTAGACAACCAGTGTACAAAAAAACATGCCAATGTAAGACGATACCTTTGTCTTGAGTGTCGTAATTTTAACACTACCAAATAAAAAGGTAATAGTTAAATACAATATTTCACTTGCTTCCAAGAATTGTGTGGAGACAAAAGATTAAGTCTGGTGATATTCTTATTTCTTCTTGTACCACAACCAACAATGAATTGATCCGACTAACAGGTATCGCTGTGCCACTGTTGCACTTGGTTACATGATTGTCTTTTATTTGGGGTATAAAAACAACAGACATCAATGAGTCCTCGCTGTGCTATTCTCTCTCGAGACCTACACGACATAACATTAAAGCAGGCTGAGCGTGTATACTCAGAGGGACAGCAGATTGAGGCTACAACCAGCAGTTCCCTTATCCTAAATGGATGGATCTAGTGTAGCAATACAAGAACCTCAACTTTTTAAAGATGTATACAACAACAAACAAGCTTCAGGTTCTGTTTTGTTTGTATCTTTTTCTATTCAGAAAATGTAAAGTTAACTCATTTTTACATTTCTCTACCAGTGTCTCTGGAGGTTACCTGTAGCTGAGCTTTAATCCGTCTCCTCCTCCTGTCTCTGGTCCTTCTGAGGGACAGGTATGACAGTTGTCCCCAACAAACCTCTTCTCACAATGTAGGGACACGAGGGACCACTGGGGATGTCTGCAAATCCTGCAGGGCGGGGAGAGGGGAAGACAGAGGATGTGGAACAGAGTGTGGAAGTACAAAAATAAAGAGCACATAAGATAAAACATCACTAACAGCAGGAACTTCGTCACAGGGTCATAACAGTCACGAACAAGATTCAGATATTTAAGGACTGCACCCATGAACGCTACTAATGATACTCAACCAATCAGACCCTCATTAAGAGTAACAGCTGTATATCATTTTCACTTCTATGCTCCCAGTACTGAGATAAAAAAGATACCTTTCATAACGACTTCCGGCAGTCCGTAGGGTTCATACTCTGTGTCGTCAAAGGCGGCTGACAGCTGCGTTCTGTTGTGGCGGATTCTCTCAGCCAGACGGGCCGGATCGGTCGGGATGGGGAAGGAACCCGAGAACAACACTCTGTCTCGTAACTCTGCTCCTTCAGGTGATGGGACAACAGAGACAGGACGGGGGTCCCCTGACTCTTCTTCATCTTCCTCCTCAGTCTGTGTGTATGCACAGCGGAGGTCAGAGGTCGCTGGAGCACAGCGAGGATACAGACTCTCCTCCGTTTGACTGCTGACACTTCTCACTTCTGTCCGGATATCTTTGTCTGAAGAGTCGTGTGTTGTTTTTAATTCATTGGTGGGTCTGGAGGCATTAGACACGGCCTCAGGAGTCCCTGTGTAACACTCAGCTGATTTGGTCTGCTTTGGTCTCGAGACTTTGGTGGAATCTTTGGCGGCATGCGGTTGACCAGCTTTCTCAGATAACATCTGGATAACTTCGGTGTCTCTCTTCTCTTTGTGGTGTGTTTGACATGTATTTAACGGGTGCATGAGGGTGATCTCATGGTTTTCTTTTTCAGATTCCTGAGTCAAGAGAAAATCACGTAACGATTAAAAGCCTAAACTTACACGTGAACAAAGTTGCGTCACAAGTCAAACCTGTGAACTAAAGCATTTTACTGAGGACACGCAGGTGTTTTGAGTTTTTCCTCATAATCTAATAAGAAGTTTCTTGGCAATAAATGTGTAATTTGGTCCTAATTATATGGAAAATAGTAATTTCTTTGAACGAACAGCTTTGTCTAAACACAATCATTATTCATTCACTACTGAGAACATTATTCTGCATACACATTGAACTGTATACTCTGGGTTACACTGCAGTGACTTGGAATTGTTTAATTTGTGTAACAATTCAACCTTTCTATTTTCACTATAATTTGCACCAAACTACAGTTATTTCCCAAAAACTTCTGAGGAGATTCTTCGGACATTACGGACTTGTAAAATTAAGATTCACTAGAAAAACTACTTCAGTCCGAACTCATTCTAAATGGACTGCAATTATATATAACTAGCTTAAAACCTTGACATAAACGAGCATAAAACACACATAATGGTCTGGTGTACAAGTGAGAGATTAAAAACAAATCACCTGGACAATCTGATTACATTCCTGAAGTGCCGCAGTCTTTTTAGACGGATCGAGACTCTTTGGTTCAGGGTTCAAGTTGCTGTTCTGAAGTCTGTTAGTAAAACAAGAACAACAAAGTGAATTCAAAGCAAACAGAAAAGCAGACGACTGAAACCTGCAAACAGACACACATTGTGTTTGCTTTACATCCAACATAAACATCTTACATATATGCATTTAACACAAGCTTCAAATGCAGGTTAATGGCATATTTGTCATTGCTTCTTTAGCCCTAGCGTGGGAGTGTTACCTGGAGAACAACATGCGGCCCTGCAGTTTATTCGACGAGCAGGAGAGGAACAACTCATCTTCTCTCACGACCGTCACAATACCAGGGCTCTCCTGAACACCCAGGTAAGGCACCTGAACCTGAACCGTCACAGTCGGAGCCTGGCTCTGGGGCATCTCACTGGACTGTGTGACAGCAGAGATCTGGTCCTGGGTCTCAGACTGGTTGTCTGTGTTGGGAAGGAACTGGTGAAACGTTGGGGCTGGTTGGGAGGCCAGTCTCCACACAACAAGCTCCTCGGCCTGCTGCTTGGTCTCTGCAGAGAGAGCGCGTAACCTCGTCTGCAGCTCCTCCACCTGGACAGGAGGGGAAAGACAAGACAGACAGAATCAACCCAAATAAAGCTTAACGTAAGTAAAACCTAACAATAATATAACTGTACAACAGTAACTCAAAAACTGGGAACATCTATACATTTCATAGTTTCTCCATTATATATTTCATTTCCCTGTGTACGCGATTAATTGAACCTATTTTTGTCCCGTCATTGTTGTGGTAGTAAGAGGTCGCATGCTGTCACTACCTGCTGCTGTAGGGGGTTGATCTGCAGCTCAGACTCCGCCTCCAGCTCTTCTTCAGCATTTGTACTCCACTTCACATCCTGAAGCAGCGGCTGTTGTGCGTCAGCGGTGATATTATCCGGCGCACTTAATGACCTCCGCTCCACTAAGCAGGACAGAGACGCATTTCCTGTGTTTTGGCTTTGCTTGACTTGGTCTTCTTGTTTTTCTCTGTCAGTGTGCAATGCTGAGGTCCTGGTGTCTGAGACATTCAAGTCCTCCATTGCTTGTTTCAGGAGCTCATTCTCCTGTCGGAGGGCGAGCAGTTCTGCGACCATGTCTGCTGTACCTCCTTCTTGACTGCTCTCAGTCTCACCCACCAAACAAGCAGAGTCATGGTTACTCTGGTCACTCAGAGTCTCATCCTGAGAGCCTGGATGCTGGTCCCCGGTCCTTAAGGCTTCATTGTCTGATTCGTCACTAATAGGTGTTGGTTTGGTGAGGACGGTGACAGGACACTCCTGGTTTGACTGAAGCTCTGAGATCTCCTCAGACCTCTCATCTTGCGTCTCTTCTTTCCGTTCTCCATCCTCCACCTCCTTGACCATCACCTCCTCTCTTCGTCTCTTCTCCTCTTCCTCGGCCTTGCGTGCATCCAGCTGTTGCTTGTAGCGCTGCAGTTCCTCTCCCTGGATGAGGAGGGCACTCTCCTTCTCTTGTAGCTCACACAGAAGACCGGAGATGTGCTGACTCTGCTTCTCAAAGGCCGTAGTTAGCTGTTTTGTCTGACGTGTCACCTGAGAAGAAAATAAAAAAGGACAAGAATAGAGAAAGTGTTGAAGAGAAACTGGGAAGAAGCAGAGTAGTAGCTACTCTACAGCGGCCCCGAGAGGCTTCTTTCACTTAAATATTATTATTCTACATCACCTGTTTTGACTGAGTTGACTACTCGTAATCAAAGTAGGGCTTAATAATTAATCAAAACTTTATCAAAATTGCAATTTTCAAATCACATGAAGCCTTTGTTAAAGGCGGAATGTGTCAAACTACCATTTTAAATTAAATATTGTCGCGCAGCAGAGATTTCCTTTCTCACCAAAATCGTTTTAATGTTTTTTCATTGAAAATAAGAATAATTATGTAAACATTATCACTCAATGAATCACAATTATCACAATTGAACCGTCAGTCAAAATAATCACAATTAGATATTTTTTCTGCTCTAAATCAAAGTGTTGATTCAGTTTATAAAGTAGTTTTCTAATATAAATGGATCTACTGTATGCACTAAACTGTAGATCCACCTTTACTAACCTGGCTCTGCAGGGCCTCCAGTTTAACCTGGTACTGGTTGGCACATTCCGTCTCCTTTGTATTCTCCTTCTGCAGCAGCTCCACCTCTTTTGTCAGATCTGAGGAGACGGGCTCAACCTTCTGGAGGTCAGAAAGTGACCGTCTGTGGTCTGACAGGGGAGACCCTCCCAGATAGTTCTGTCTGTCGTCTTCCATGTCAGAGGTGACTACACCCGTTTGCTCCTCGTCAGACAGAGGCGAACGCTCGGGATCTATCACTGTTCGCTCCTCCTGGACTAGATCGGCTGTGGCCTGAGATACAAGCATGTTGCGTTGGTTGGTGGACTGGCAGAAGAGGAGGTGCTGCTCTGGTGAGGGGAGGAGCTTGTTGTCGCAGCGAACGATGTTGAAGTTGAGGTCATCATTGTGGAGGGTCAAGTATGTCAGCGGGCTGTTGGCCAATGAGAGTTTCTCCTCTTCCAGTGAGTCTTCTTCTCTGCTGCGCTTCAGTTCTTCCAATTCAACTTTAAGGTCTTCCAAATTCGCTCTCAACTCTTTCTTTAAATCCACATCTGTGTTGTTTATTTGGTTCCTCTCCTCTTCCTCTCTCTTCCGCTCTTCTTTTTCTAAAGCCAGCTGGGCTTTCACCTCCGCTAGCTGTTTCTTTAGCTGGATATTAAGCTCCATCATTTCACTCTCCCGGTCTTGTAGCGCTTTGTTTTTCTCCTCCTCCTCTCTCTCCCTCTGCTCTCTTTCCTCCCTTCCTCTCATCATCTCTGTCTCCAAAGCTGCCATGGCCGTCCTCAACCTCTCCGTCTCAACCCTCTCACTCTCCAGCTGTGCCTTCCATTCCTTGTCCAGATCTCCCTTCTCAACAGCCTGGCTGGCACTTTTGCGGCTGAGTTGTTTCAGCCGGGTCCTGGCTTCTGTCTCTGCCCGTCGCTGGGCTTCCAAGTCCTCAAGTCTTTGCTGCAGTTCTTCACGTGCGTCGTGTAGCTCTGAACGCAGTGTGGCGTTCTCCCTCTTGAGGTCTTCAGAGGCCCTGCAACGATCACAACCCATAGAGGTGTTGGTGGGCGTACCAGCAGCAGTAGAGAGCCCTTGATCAAATGTGGACCGCGTGTTTGTCCCAGAGCTGTCACTCTCTATCGCCTCATTTCTGCTTTTATTCTCCACCTCGTTACTTCTGTGTTGTCCCCTTTGTAAACACTCAGAGTCTGAGGAGATAAGGTCAGTGATGTGTTGGGAGTCGATGCCTTCTCCTGGCTCTCTGTCAGACGGGTAAGATGCTGCGATCTCTGCCCTTCTCTTCTCCCCATCCTCTTCCCTCCTCTGCTGGGCTAGGGTGGTGTCACTGGGCCTCTTGGTGTGAGTTGATGGTCGAGAATGAAGAGAGTGAGAAGGTTGAGGGGAGAAACTCTGCCCAACAGGGCAAAACTGGACAGGTTGTAGAGGGGTTGCTGGGTCAGCCTTTTGCTCTGAAGTTAAAAGGAAAGAAATACAAAAATCTGAGCATATCTCTATTTTTAATGCATTACTGGCATACATAGTTACATTTGTTTTGATTTGAGAAAGTGGATGGCGTATTAATGACCAGCAGGGGGCAGCACCGGGATAAGAGAGTTTTGCATTAGAGGAGAATTGACATGAAATGTATTGTAGAATCCGTGAATGTCAAGCACTCATTAGGACTCGTCCACTAAAATTATTAACGTCCATAACCCCTTTATAAAATTCGAATTAATCATCATGTATTTGCTCGCTTTGGTGACTTTTAGCAAGACACCGAATCCCCACAAACTCCTGACTTCTTGACCTCCCAGTGGACGTATCCCATTACTGATAAACGTCACGGCTTTGTCCTCACCCTGCAGTTCTTTGAGGAGACGAAGGGCGTCAGCTCGCTCCTCTGCCAGTCTCCTCCCCTCCTCCTCCAGAGCTTGCTCTCTCTTCCTGCTCTGCTCCAGACTCACTGCAACACCATCTGCCTCACGCAGAGCTTCCTAATGGGGGGGTAAAAACAACACGCAAATAAGATGGATTGAATCCAGCTGCTTTGAGACAGACTTTTGAAATATTTGTTTGTTGACATTAAAACCTCTACAACAGCCTCTTTACAATGTGTCTAACAGATGTACGTTTGTGATGACACATCCTTCATTTCTCCTGATCAGTTTAAAACTAAGACCCTAATAACTACAGTTGTGTGAAAAAGTGTTTGCCCCCTTCCTGATTTCTTATTTTTTTGCACGTTTGTCACACTTAAATGGTTCACATCAAACAAATTTAAATATTAGACAAAGATAACACAAGTAAACACAAAATGCAGTTTTTAAATGAAAGTTTTTATTATTAAGGGGAAAAAAAAATCCAAACCTACATGGCCCTGTGTGAAAAAGTGATTGCCCCCTAAACCTAATAACTGGTTGGGCCACCCTTAGCAGCAACAACTGCAATCAAGCGTTTGCGATAACTGGCAATGAGTCTTTTACAGCGCTGTAGAGGGATTTTGGCCCACTCATCTTTGCAGAATTGTTGTAATTCAGCCACATTGGAGGGTTTTCGAGCATGAACCGCCTTTTTAAGGTCATGCCACAGCATCTCAATCGGATTCAGGTCGGGACTTTGACTAGGCCACTCCAAAGTCTTCATTTTGTTTTTCTTAAGCCATTCAGAGGTGGACTTGCTGGTGTGTTTTGGATCATTGTCCTGCTGCAGAACCCAAGTGCGCTTCAGCTTGAGGTCACGAACAGATGGCCGGACATTCTCTTTCAGGATTTTTTGGTAGACAGCAGAATTCATGGTTCCATTTACCACAGCAAGTCTTCCAGGTCCTGAAGCAGCAAAACAGCCCCAGACCATCACACTACCACCACCATATTTTACTGTTGGTATGATGTTCCTTTTCTGAAATGCCGTGTTACTTTTACGCCAGATGTAATGGGACATGCACCTTCCAAAAAGTTCAACTTTTGTCTCGTCAGTCCACAGAGTATTTTCCCAAAAGTCTTGGGGATCATCAAGATGTTTTCTGGCAAAACTGAGACGAGCCTTTATGTTCTTTTTGCTCAGCAGTGGTTTTCGTCTTGGAACTCTGCCATGCAGGCCATTTTTGCCCAGTCTCTGTCTTATGGTGGAGTCATGAACACTGACCTTAATTGAGGCAAGTGAGGCCTGCAGTTCTTTGGATGTTGTTCTGGGGTCTTTTGTGACCTCTTGGATGAGTCGTCGCTGCGCTCTTGGGGTAATTTTGGTCGGCCGGCCACTCCTGGGAAGGTTCACCACTGTTCCATGTTTTCGCCATTTGTGGATAATGGCTCTCACTGTGGTTCGCTGGAGTCCCAAAGCTTTAGAAATGGCTTTGTAACCTTTTCCAGACTGATAGATCTCAATTACTTTGTTTCTCATTTGTTCCTGAATTTCTTTGGATTGCAGCATGATGTCTAGCTTTTGAGGATCTTTTGGTCTACCTCACTTTGTCAGGCAGGTCCTATTTAAGTGTTTTCTTGATTGAGAACAGGTGTGGCAGTAATCAGGCCTGGGTGTGGCTAGAGAAATTGAACTCAGCTTTCCAAAGATGTGATAAACCACAGTTAATTTATGTTTTAACAGGGGGGGGGCAATCACTTTTTCACACAGGGCCATGTAGGTTTGGATTTTTTTTCCCCTTAATAATAAAAACCTTCATTTAAAAACTGCATTTTGTGTTTACTTGTGTTATCTTTGTCTAATATTTAAATTTGTTTGATGATCTGAAACATTCAAGTGTGACAAACATGCAAAAAGATAAGAAATCAGGAAGGGGGCAAACACTTTTCACACAACTGTATATACAAGTGTAAAGGTCTGTCAAAAGTCCAATTTTGCAATATACCCGAGATGTTTGTGTTTGTGCAGCAGGACGTCCAGATAAGCAGCAACTTTGTAAGAGCTATGTATTGACAGCTACATAATGTCATAGTGTCACAATAGCAACAAACCACAGATAAATGCAGCATTAATGCGGATGTTGCAAGCTGGTATACATGTAATGAACCACAAACAAACTACTCTGGAGGGTTAAAATGTGACTGTGCTTTGGTCTAATTCTTATAGTTTTAAAAAAGGCTGTTATTGTGTGCAGGTTTAACAGTTCACCATCTAGATTCAGTGTTAGTTATAGAACAGTTGGGCTTTTTCGAGAACCGTAGGATATGTTTGTATGATTCTTGCGATAGTGACGGGCAGGAGAGGCCATTTAAGAAATAAATATCAGACAAATCATATGTTTAGCTCTGTGAAATGCTCTCCAATGCTAAACCTTTATTATTACATAATAATGCAGCAGCTGGATGATTGAAGAAGCCACAATTTACTTATAATTTATTAACAGTTCACTTATCTTAGATTGACATATGGCACATTAAGATGTCGTTTAAAAATGTATGGAGTTCATTATACATCTACTGCTCACACTCAGCTAATGAATAATTAAAGTGAGACACTGACTCACTAGACTCAGGACCATCACTAGTGTGTGTGTGTGTGTGTGTGTGTTTGTGTGTTACCGTCAGTTTGGCTTGTGTCTGAGACTCTTTCTTCTGGCTCTCCTGCAGCTGTCCCTCCATCCACTTTAGTTTCTCTTTCAGAGCGTCCAGCTCCTTGTTCAACGCCTGCTTCTGTAGAGACAGCTGATACAGGATATTAGGACTCAGTAGCTGATTAAAAACGGGAAAATTAAATTAAAGAAGATTGGAGGGAAAGGATATAAGAAAAAGGTGAAAGTAGGAATTAAGTAAGAAATTAATGTCTGTAGTTGTAGGCACAGGAATCAGGAGCAGTGAAGGGAACAGGAAGCAGGAGAGGAATCAGTGATCAATAACGGGCATAAGCTGTGTCTAATGTCAATAGTGAGGATCTCTGTGGGGAAAGTGAGGAAGACTTAACAGGCTGATCGGCTTCCCACCAGTGCTGATATCAAATTCTCATGTCATGGTACATGTGAACAGTGTTGAAGGCAGAGTTATTGTAGAGTGCTGTATAAGATCACTGCTGATTTAGTTTACTGGTCCATATGGGCTTTGTTCTACAACATCGATTGACCCAATTCTAAGTCAGCCAAGAACAGAAATCTAGTGACATAAGTTCCTGTCATACGTGGTGTAACCAGTTCGACTACTTTACTCAGGATGGAGTTCATTACTTCGAAGAGACGTAGCATGGACTGTATAATCTATTGTTAACTCCGTAAAGAGCTGTGTAAATCGAAATATGCTCTATCAGCAGTTGAACGTGCGATTTGATTGGACACAAGCTGTGCCTGTGCTGTGTGTTTACTCTGTGTAGCCTTGTCGGATGTAAAAAGATAACATCTGTGTGGTTTACAAAGGGCTTACAGCGTTAGCAGAATGAATGCTCATTGTTCAGACTTTTTACAACACGTCTGAAAGCATTGGATTATTTTTGAATACTCAAAAGCCTCGTAGATTTGTATTATTGTTCTACTGATTAAAAAATAACTACCACAGCATTCCTTCACATAAAGGAAATCCAAATGAAAGAATAAAGGATTGCAACACCACACGTCTTCAGGCACAAACACACTCCTCCATGTCTTCAGTCATGCAGCTTGCCTCAACACACCTTCAGACAAATCTTCCATCTACCTTCATGCCTCGCTCACTATGAACTCTTTACCATGTCTCACACACGCATTATGAGTTTGTTTCACGCTCCCATGACCAAAAGCATTCGACACACAGTCATTACCTTCGCTGCTCAACCTTTCCACTGGGGAGAAACCGAGAGGAGGACGAAGCGGAGAGGACAGCGGGTGGAGAAAAAGGAAACACAAACACAAGAGGGCAAGAGAGTGAAACAGAGAGCAAGAGAAAGCAAAAAGAGTAAGAAGCAAGTGTGGGAAAAACAAAAGAGAGCAGTGCGTGGACCCTTTCTTTAAGTATTACAAGTACCAGGAAAAAGAGAGAGGAAGAAGAGGAGAAGGAAGAGAGACGAGGAAGCAAGGAAGAGAAAGAGGGAATAGCTGAAAAAACAGAGCAGACTTATGAACAAACATATAAACAATATGTACATATTCCTCCAATGTACACACAGATGTGAATTAAAGGCTTTATCTTGGTGAATGTACTTGTATGAAAAAAACATATTAGTGCCTTGTTCATGTGTATATGTATGTACTTTGTGTGTATGTTTACCTTGTCAGCCTGGGCCTGCAGGGCGTTGTGGAGAGTCCTGGCCTGCTGGAGCTCCACGTTGAGCTTATTCACCTCCTGCTGATGCTGCTTCTCCAGACTCTGCCTCTCCTTCTGAAGCTCTGTCACATCCTGGACACAACCAACTAAATCTGAGCCACTATCCTCAACTGTAATGTGGAACAAATACACTGTTTGTAAGAGTTGAATGAAACAAAAATCTGAAATCTTCTCCTGCTTCCTTTCGCCATCTCTCCGAGCATCTCCTTTTATTTCTCTCAATCTGTCCACATCACCCATCTCACCCTCTGGTGTTGTTTCTCCAGCTCCTTGGAGCGTTGTTGGTGTTGCAGTCGGCTGCTCTCCGTGTTCTGCCTCTGACACTTCAGCTCTTCCTGTAGGTGCTTCAGCCTTTGCTCAGCTCCTGACGCCTGCCACACAAACGACATGCTCTTTAAAATTGACAACAAGACAACGTTCTTCGTTTCCATCATGGGCTTAAGAGTGCGTACCCTGCTAAAGAGTAGTCACATATTCAATTATTCTTAAGTGTACATGTTTGTGTCTTTGGATATGTCAGTAAAACTTGCATTTACGTGTGTTTTAACACATTTGTTATATTGTTTTCAATTTGTTTACCTTGTTTGTTATCTTGTGGTGCTAATTATTGATCTGCATTTGACATTCTAACACAAGGAAATCACCATCACTGTGAGAACTTAGCATAGATACTCTTAAATGAGACACTTGTCAGCCCCTCCCAGTCTCTCCTCGGCTTTGTACATTGTTTGACAAATGGTTTGATTTCACAAAATATCAGCTGGATCTTTCTACAGCTCAGATAATAACAGATTGTGTAACAAAATATTCCCAACACGTTTGTTATTTTCAGGAAAGTCAAAGAGAAATGTTTTGCCAAATGAGGGCGACACCCATTTGGGAAAATACAGCACATTAGCAGCTGCATGAAACATGTTTTTTTCAGTAGTAGTCCCACCAGTGGACTCAGCTGTGATAGTGGGTGTTTTTACCCGCTCACTCTCCTGGGCCATGCGTGTGTGCGCCAGGCTGAGCTCATCGCAGGCTTTCTGAAGGCTGAGCTCTCTGGTCCCGAGCTCCTTCTTGCTTTGCACCATCTCGCTCTGGATCGACTTCAGCGTCCCGGCCTTCGCACAGAGCTCCTCCTCCAGAGCAGTCACACGACTCCACGCGTCTGTTAAAGATGCTGCTGAATGGACCAGACACACAGTGACATACCGGTTAATGCGCTCATAAGCTGCCATGAACACCTTTTAGGAACACCACTAAGTCAATTAAAAAAAATATCTTTTAAGTCCTTAAATAACCGTACCAGTGTTAGTGTTAGTTTTATCTTATTTACTAAAATTATATACAGTTTGCATCACTGCCCACCATGTTCCAGAAGAAAACAGCTGTCAGAAAATATTGATTACATTGTGTTAATGAAAATATTTGAATGCCAGAGTTAGAAGGATTTCCACTTTAAATAGAGGAAAGGTGAACGAGTGGGTGGAGAGCAACAGAGAGACAACAGGGAGGAGAAGTACAGGAAACACACATTTATAAGATTTCTTCCCTCAAAATGAGCATCGACATTATCAGCAAGAACACTTTGCTTTCTTACAACTGACCAGCAACGGTCAACAACACACAGCTGGAGTCTTCACTAATGGGGTCAATCCATACCGACTCATTGATCAGCACAGCTGTTGTAACTGTATGTCACGTTCACAAAGCCTGTGGAGGAAACCAACGTCTGTCCAATAGTTTGTCCTGTACCTTCATTTTACAATACTGTTCAACGTTTTAAGTGTCTTTTTTCAAATGAATCACAATTAATTAATTATTAATCCCAATTCATTGTACTACTAAAAATAACCTGTTGTTTTCTACAATTTACATTTACCAAATACAGCTTTAACAAGCAAATCTGAATAAGATCCTGGAAAGTGTATAAAGTATGTGTGACTTCAGTAGAGAAGAGTAAAATAAAAGAAGACAGCAGCAAACAGCACACCTAATGTAAACACTGATCCCTCCCCCTCTGTGTCCCAGCAGCTAGAAGAAGCATTTATTGTTTCACATTGAACAGTCCCCTTCCTCCTCTGAACAAACACTGAGAATAGATTGTAACAGAGAGAAAGAGGAGCGTGATACCACAATTAGTAAGTGTACTAAGAGACACTGTACACCATGGAGCTGGCCTGGGGGCGGAGACTCCGGCTGAGCCAGATATTTCTACACAAGTCTTGCGTAACAATTGTTGAGGTTATACAGAGTACATGTGATTTGTTGAGGCAGACCCATCAGAGCTGAAGAAAAGCTTCAGTGTCAATTAGCCTTGATGTAAATATGAAAATTTAAGCCATTTTCTAACTTCATGGAATCACATTCATAAGCAACAATAAGAAAAATATAAAGTAACACCAGCCTTCCGAAATGACACTTTGGCTTATGAGCAATAGTCAACTCTAAGTCATTCTGACCAGACTTTGCTCTCCATCTCTCAGAATGAATTTGAGGCCAGCTGTGACTGAGCTGTTGCTGCTGTGGCCTCTGGAGAGGAGAATCAAGGGATTGTCTCACAAAGACAATGTGTGTCCTGGTCTTAGTTAGTTATTCAGATTGCTTAATTAACTATTTAGGAGACATGCTGCCGTGTTGAGCTGTATGTTTGTATTTGCAACTACAAATGGACGACACCCAGTCGTGACCATATTACATTACTCACTGTCTGTCTCTGTCCGGTGGTTCTTCTCCTTCCCACAAACCCTCGTCTCCGACTGGCCTTGACCGATGACATCTGTGCAGGGTGTCTGGGGAGAGCTCGGGGACGGTCTCCTGGCTGCTGGCCTCGAGTTATCCTGTTCCCACGGAAAGGCAGCCGAGGGAGTGGAGAAGACGTCCGATTGGTCGGACGGATGGCGTTGGGATGTGTTCTTGTGTTGGTGTTGTGGTGACGAGGCTGAGCCGACTTCGGAGAACTGGAGCTGCTGCAGAAGGGAGGAGAAAAGAAAGAAAGAAAGAAAGAGGAGGATGTGAACAGGATGTCAAACTAGAAAGAACATTTTAAAAGAATTTACAAACAACAGAGTTAATGTTCTTTCACTTAAACTGCATTTTACTGATACACATTTTGACCTTTTCATTCCTTTTGCCCTTAAAACAACTACAATGAGGTATTCCCATAAGCAAAATTCTGATCAATTCAGATCGTATGTGCTTATTATTATCACTTTAGACTAAGTAGTTGTTTATCACAATATAATAGAAAATTACTGATCTTTTTACAAAGAATGAAACTGTATATTTAAGACCTTTTTAAAGATGTTGTCCTCAGTAGAAACTAACGGGCTGAGAGACACAGACATGTTAGGAGGGTCACAAAGTATTAACAGACAGACTGACATGTCGGTTTTGGTCTTCTCATGGAATTTGCTAACAACAAGAAAAACAAAAAATAATCGAATCAAAAAGCTTTAAAGTAAAAACCCACATCGGTCTTGAACAAGCCATTGCATAGGTCAGCACAAAAACATGCTGGTACTTACTCGAATATGACGTGCCCGGCTCCGTCCTTCATCTCTACCCGGCCTCTCCTCCTTTCTACTCCCTACAGGGCAAAAACACAGCATATTGATTGGACTTGTTTCCTAAAGACAATCACAAAAGCTGAACATAACTACGGCAGTGAAGACCCAAATGCTTTACTGACATGAGAGGAAAGAGAACTACAACAGTCCTCAGAGAGTGAAGGGTTGGGAGAGGACGGGAGCTAAGGGAGTATATTTATAACCTCTCTGCTCATTTGGGAGTCTTGGATTTTCAGTTTATTCTCAACATTATTCTGTCCATTAATGAAAAGATATAAACCACCAGAGAGAGTAAAAACAGGACTGTACCGCTGTTTTCCCAGGGTGATGTTGTATTCCAGCAGGGTGTAGAAAACAGCGTAGTATCCGACGATCTGCTGCTGTTCTGCAAATTCTCCAGCTCTGCCTCCAGCCTGAGAGAGAGACAGAGAAAGAGAGAGAAAGAAGGAAAGAGAGAGAGAAAGAAGGAAAGAGAGAGACAGAGAGAGAGAGAGAAAGAGAGAAATGAATGAATAAGAACCAAACAGAAAGAGTTCAGTGTAGGCCAGGAATGGGGAAAGTTAAAATGAAAAAGTATGTCTTGATGACACAGATGAAGGATTTGTCTCATAATTTTGCACCATTAACAACAATGATTACAGCTTCATGACTGAATGTCAGTTCACTGGTCCTAACCTTTTGATTTCGAGGGCGAGTTTGTTGTTGAGGGTGCGAGCAGCGTCTACCTGGCCCTCCAGAGAGCATACTTGGGCCTGCTTAGTCTGAAGCTCCTGGGTCAGGCGCTTGCTGCTGGTCACCGCTACCTTGGCCTCCTCTCGAACACTGCAGAGCTCTCTCTGCAGATACTGGAGCTCCCCACGGACCTCCTCATACTGGACAGGGAAGAAGAGGAGGAGGAGGAAGAGAAGAGGTACATATTTCAGGTTTTGGTATGAAAATACCAGATGATGATGGTGTTGTATTGAATTGAAGACTTGGATGTGGCTCTCAACATGGCCGCCTGCTTGTACCTTCGCGGTCTGTTTTTCGAGGCTCGTGTGGATGTTGTCCAGTTGCAGCTGTTTCTGCTTGTTCTCTCTGGACAGTCGCTCCTGATGGACCTGCAGCTCCTTCACCTTTTGCTGGACCCGTCCAGACAGCCCCACCGTCCAGTCCTCCTCAGCCCAACTCATCTCTCTCTACCTGGGCCTGACACGGCTTGACAGATCCAGAGTCAGACAGTTTCTGGAGCCATGGAGTGAAGAAACCAGCAACACACACACACACACACACACACACACACACACACACACACAGTCTGAAACAAAGAGGAAGTACAGGCCTGTTAAGTGAGGTGCAGGGAGCTCTTTGCCAATTAGTGTTGTGACAGAGGATCCACGCCACATGTATCTAAACATGTTTAAATCATCTGTGGCTGTGGGTCCTGTCTTGAATATGTTATGTTGCTACGGCTCTGATCACCGAGGAAGACGCTGGTTGTCACCGCTGGGCAGCTGTGACTCAGTGTTTTCCAACACAGACCGCCTGCAATGTTCCAAGAGCTCCTCAAGTTAAAAAATAAATTCCTTCTCTCTCAAACAGTTATATGCGTACTTACAAACTGAAAATATTTGCAATTGCAATGCAGTGTTTTCAAGTTAAATCTGCAAACACTGCATTTACTGCACTAGCTCTTTTTATAGACTAGGGGTTAACACCAAGAAATGGACACAAAATTAAAATGTAGGAATGAAGAAAAGCCTGTAGAAGTGAATTCTGAACTCAGCTTTGACATGCACTCCAGGCTTAAGGCTATTAACACCATAACACCAGTCAGTTTCGGTCATAACTCACAGGTTATGTCACTGTGTTCACCTGTTCCTAAAACTAGAGTGGCAGAAATACTCAGCTGAGCTGACTGATGAACTAGTGAAACACACACACACACCTCATTGTGGCCTCTGGAGTGGCTACAAAGTGTACAATAGCACTTTTGTGGAAAGACTTCTTCCAAGCGAGTGTGAGATTTAATTTAATCGAAGCCTTGTATTAATGATGCTGGTTAACAAGCTGCATTTGGTTTCGAGCTGCCACTATCAACTATTGTTATCACAGATTAATCTATAATTAATTTCATTATTCAGCAATTCATACTTTAGGCTATAAAATAACAGATAACTGTCACAATTTTCCCAGAGCCTGAGGAACCTCAAATTGCTTATTTTATAGTTCTGATAAAATAAGCAATTTACTAAAGTTACTATGAGTTAATATGCTCAAGCACATCTGACTTTGTCAGTGACAAAATAATGAAATCCTGGAGTTATTTCCATTGTTGACATTAGTGTTTTCAGTCCACGTCCTTTAGATAGAGGCAGGCAGGGTGTTCCTGAGAACTAGTTGTATAAAACACATATTCCTTATTTACTGATATTCTACTGTAAAGGTTCAAATAAAAAAGGCAAAATGCCTAAATATGATCTTTAATAAAGATGGTGGAGACAGGTATTCAATATCTGAGATATTAGAAAACAGGCACTAAAACTAGAAAAATCCAAGAAGTTCACATGATAAAAGACAAAAGCTGTGTGACATTGTTCAAGATGCAAACATCAGGGATTAGTTTAAACCTTAAAACATGTCTGTTTTAAGAATACAATCTACCTGACACTGTTGCCTGTAAGGGGATCTGTCACCTCCATAAATAAGAGGAGGCAGCTTTGTGTAATGACCATTAGCTTCTCTCTCGTTTAAGCAAACTAAAGACAGAATCTAGCTAAGGTTTAGTTTAGTAGAGGAGGAGACAGGGGATCCAGAAGTTGAACCGTGGCCTGTTCTCTCACCAACGTGTTATCACGAGGTGCAACCACAACAAAAGACAACTGACAACCTCCCAAAAAAAAGTTGAATTTACACGTAACGTCCATCCAGGACCACCGCCTGTGAAATAACGTCAACGCTCACACTACCCGTACCGTGACTGATAGAGACAAACTGTTGGTGGTGCTTCAGTGGTCAGTAACTGACAACTAGCACTGACCTAGCACTGATGCTACTAGCTAACCACACACTAGACTTACCTCTCAGTTTAGAGAGTATACAAAGGACGCACAGTCGGTGGGGGAGGTCCACACAGACCCGGTGGCGGTGCTCTGATAGGCGTCGTTTAAAAAGTACCACCGGCCTCCAGGTCTTCTTCACTACCGGTACACACCGGGAGGAACTGTCGCTTTGAACGGAACCGAGGCTAACGACTGACGTTAGCTGACAGTTTTCATATTTGAGACAAGATGCCGCGCGCGTCTCACGCAGCTGACGAGCCAAAAGGATCGTTGTGGCACGAGGAGGGGGTGGGGGCTAGTGACGTAGCACGGGAATGTTTTGGGGAAAAGTCCTCGCCGCGGTATAAGAGCTACTGAGGACCTCTGGCGGTCAGATGTGTAAACGGTGCTGCCACTTTCTATTGAAACATGTCTCTTTATATTGTTTAGAGATGACAACACAGTCACAATAAAGAGCCTCCGCCATATTGTCTGTCGTGACAAAACTCAAATTTAAACATTATTGTTACTTGGTATGTGTCCGGAAGTTTTGGATAGCCTAGAGCAACATATTTGACAGAAGAGAGGTATTTACAATAGCCTAAATGATCTGATACTTCCAATAATGTGTGCATTATTGAAATAGCCAAGGACCAGATTACCAACCTGACAGAGCTGAAAGCTGCTCTTGGCTCCCAGACCTCTGGGCCCCCAAAAGCCACAGGTTCTCAGAGTGACAATTAGTTGATGGTAAATGAAAAAACAACTACAGGGACACTCACCTTTTTTTTCAACTGTGATGGCATTGTCTGTCCGAAACAGCCTCTAAAAAAACTGGTAAATGGACCTACATTTAAGATTTTGTGTTGCTTTTGTTTTGTCAAACTATTATTTCAAAGGTCCACAACAATACCTTTACAGTCAGTGTTTAACAATACTTTAATTAGCTATAATTTTCTTTGGTAAAATGTGAATAAGCACCTGAACATTGAACTGATAGAGCCTTAAGGCAGGTATGCTTTATTACCATAAATTGAAGGAATGTCTTGGGGAGTTTCCCAGAGTTAAATCTGGTTTCACGACTTCCCTTATCACTGCTGATACTGTGCATACATGTTGTGTCTATTCAAATCAACACACATCAAACTTGGAGCTATTAAATGCTTTAGAATAGAAATACTTAACACAATTGTGAACAGAGAGTGGACGGAAATGGGACTTAGGGACCCAGCGGCTCATTTTCCTCCTTGGGGTTAATCCGTCCGTGTTTCCAGCAATAGTTGTTTTTCAACCAGGTAACAAATTCAACGTTCAATTTCACACAGACGTTTGTGCGCAGTTGACAAATGTTTCTCTGAAACAGATTGTGACAAAGTTTTGATCCCATTTTGGTGGCATAGACTAAATTTGATTGCCCCTTGCAAACCCCAAAAATGACCACTTCTGGCAATAGGAATGTGGGTGTGTGATTTTAAAGATACTGTACAAAATGTACTTAATACAGAATCATTTATACAACCATTTAAACAAATGGTTCTGGGGCACCAGTAGCATTATAGCTCATGCTTCACTGGTCTCACCACATAAATAATGGATGGAATTGACCAAGACACAGCTTCAATTTTGACGGGGACACTGACATTTATTAATCTACTTTTCCTCTATTAACCTACTTTAGAGTGTCTGTGCCATACCTGGGTGACACTGCAGTGACACTGAAGAGATCTGTCTGAGAGAACGTCTCAAGTTTCTCTTGATCGGAAACACACACACACACACACACACACACACACACACACACACACACACTCAGAGATGATAGAAATCCTACAGTTACACACCCTCACACACTTGTTGATGATGAGGTCATTGTGAAGAAAGGAAACGGTAAATGTGATTCATATACTGTTAACTGTTACTAAAATATGTTTTATTACCATTGCAAGATATGAGCAGACAATGCAGCTAGATCACAAACCATACTCTAGAAAAGGTGACTGGCCAAGGAACGGATTACCCATCACACTTAAAAGGTACATGGAGGGAAAAACAAATTCCTACCAATGTAGCCATGTTTAAAATCTAAAATATGTTTTAATACTTCAAAAGTGCCCTTTAAAAGGTGGTTTGTAAGCTTAGACTCTGCATATGTTTTTGGCTGGTGTCATGTTTTCGTCCTGTGTTGTTCGTTGGATGTTGGAGGAACACAATGGATATATTCCTTTAATGAGTTTTTATGCCTGATGATTGTAGCTATTGGGCAGAATTCTAGTATTTTTAATAATCAAATACATTTAGTCAGTAAACACTGTTGATCACAGTTGGTGTATTTACAGCAGTTACAGCATCCATCCACTGCAGGCAACTGTAATTAGATTATAATAGTCATTATAGTCACTCATTCTTCCAGGTAGGCTCTGGATTTGAATATAATCTGGGATTTGGTGGCTCAGTGCTGAGTGGTGCGGAAACCCAGGAACTAGCCTGCAGTTACCTTGCATACAAAACCATTTGCTAGCCAGTGGCCCATAAGAGAGTTTCTGTGTGTGAGAAAGAGAGATTACTCGGGTAGTTGTGTAATCTTGTCCATAACCGTCTGGTAATTACAGGTGTGCCTGAGGGATTATTGTCTGAGAACTGGGAGACTATTTTGAGACGTACGCTGTGTTATTTTCAAGGATTGAGCTGGGTGTAATGGCAGAGGCATAACAGTTTGAAACCAGAAAGTATGCTGGTTAAAAATTCATGACTGCCCGTAAATACCGTATCTCTGTCAGACACTGTGGAAGTGGTTTAAAGTACCTCTGAGCAAAACACTGTCCGCTTGTGTGAGTGAGCTGAAATCTTCAGTTTATAGTTTTAAAATTGAAATTAAAAAAACTATTAAAAATAACTGGTTAAAGTTAAATTAAATGAGAGTAACTTGAATAGATACCGGCCCCATGCTATTAAATAAACACCCCACCTAAATTGTCACACACACCAACACACACACCATATCCACCCAGATGCGCCTCATGGTAAGCTCCTCTCATCACTCGCTCATTATTAATACAGGATTACATTTATTCTCAATCCCAAACTCACACACACACACACAGTCCACGGGGCTCCTCGCAGAAGTAGTACACACCCTGTCTGCCAAGGACCGTCAAAGGTAGCAAGGCAGTCAGGTAGCTGTGTGCCACCAGCTGGAGTCCGAGGAGTTTTACCCTTTTTGAATGTCACAAGCTCATGGAGACCTGCTGTTCATCTGGCTGCTAACAGAGGCTTTACCAGACAACAGGTGGATTTCTGTCCGACAACAATACACTGCAGCTTCGTAAACCCAGTTCCATGACGGTAAGACAAGAATTAAACTTCCATGAGAGCATTTAGGGCAAGAGAAAAACAAGTGATAACATTCTTCCTAAGAAGACGTGGTTTGTATTAATCAGCTGTATCAGTTGTTTGCCACTCACATGATTGTGAGTCCTGTTTTACTTGAACAAACTGTACTGATGATAAGATTTGTCTGGCGTGAAGGTTATACGGTGTTTCTGAGATTTCTGTGTGATTATGGAAGCTTACATTCTCTAAACAACTACAGCAGCCATGATAAAGTCCCCACATCTAATAACACTTGTTTCCAAAATGTAAAAAAAAAAGTATTCTACAGACTGAGTGCTGAGGTTATATATATATATAATGGTCTGCAAATGTTAATGACTGTTTCCTTTCTTCTGTCCTTCTGTCCCAGATGTTTCCTTGGTCAGCTGTTTTCTCCCTTGAGCCCAAAGTGCCCGGCCAGCGCAGCTCTGAGGAGTTGGTAACCAATACTCTGATGTTAGAGCTGGGGGCCATGGTGAAGCGCACTGAACGCATCCATTTGGAGCGGGCGACGGAGGGTCGACGCCGCCGGCGCAGCTCCTCCTCCACAGCTGACTACAGCTGGCTGGCCACAGCCCCGACCCCACAGCCCTACGAGCTGACACCCAACGACCTGCTGGAGCTGCAGGACCTCTGTGTCAAGGTCCCTCCTGCACAGTGTGGCCCTCTGATCGTCAGGTGAGACAGACAGGGAGACACTGAGAGAGTTGGACATAGAAGAAACTAAATGGGCAGAGTAGGCAAGGATACTCTCAGATCCAGACCCATTCTTTCTCTAAGAGATGACTCGACATGATATCCCAACCAGAGATTTAAACAGTGCTCAAACACCTGCTTTTTTGTTGCCGCTTTTGCATTATGAAGGTCTAAAGCTGAAAGGATTAGCCTTTGAATCAATTAGTTCACTTTCATTTTCTATTATTCAATAACATTGTACTGGTTTTATGTTATCCCTCTTCCAGCACCAGTGTCATCAGGGTTCATTTCCTAACAGGGGCGTAGCGAGGGATTCTGCACCCCTTTAAAAAGACTGCAGTGCCCACCTGGTGGCGGTGGCACCTCCATTATTAAGGCTACAACTGCCTTCTCTTTTGCTTCTGTTTTGTTTTGTCTTGACTGTAAAGTACTATGTAAATGCTTGTGTTATTTAATATCAGGCTGTTCATATAATCACAGTTGTCGCTCCCACTGCAGGTTCAGGAGGCTGGTGTCGCAGATGGAGCCTGAGGTTCACGAGGTCCCCCGGCTGTTTCGCTCAGTGCTCCGCGACTGCATGGACGAGGTGAACGGAAATGAAGACATGCAGACGCAAGACGGCGGCGTCTTTGAGAAGCAGCAGCGCAGCAAGAGCCTGTCTTTTGTTTCCTTCCGCAGCAAGTTCCGCTCGGGTCAGCTCTTCAGGGGCAGCAACACGAGAGGCTCCAGGGGGAATCTGGAGCAGCAGGTGGATTGGTCCGACGAGGAAGAGGATGAAGAAGGGGAGGAGGAGGCCATCAAGGCCAGGGCGAGGAAGGGAAGGAGCATGAGCATGCCGGAGATCAGCCCGATGGAGCAGAGTGCCCAGGGGTGAGAGAGTCAGTGGAGAGACGATGCAGAGAGGGACGGGACCTATGGAGAAGTTCTGATAGGGGGAGAAAATGAGGAGTAAGAGAAGGAGGGAAAGTAGAGAGATGGGTCAGCTGAATGTAAATATGGGGAGGAGAGTCTTTTTCTCGTTCCAAATAATTTCTAAAGGAGAAGATAAGTTTACAGAGTAAAGTTAGAATGATTTCTTCACTTTCAGGAAACCCGTCTAATTACTAATGAACTTGAAGTCTCTAATTCATCCCAAAAGCATTGCCGTTTTGGTTGTAAGATTCTGAAACACTTGATGAGGATTTATATGTGCTGACAGCAACAAGACAGAGAGTCTAAAGTCGTGCTAGCATAGATGGAAGTGAAAAATGTTCGAGGAAATGAAGATCATCAAAGTCATGAGGATACACGGTTTGGGGACCATGAATGTCTGCAATCCATCCTTCAGTTGTTGTGATGTAGATATAGTCACACCACTAGCATGGTAAATGACTAAAATGTGCTGCATGGGGTTTAGTTGGGTAGAATCTCTTACGTGGCTGACCTTCACATGCTTTAAGTATCCTTAAGAACAAAAAGCTGCTGATGAATAATATGTTTTATGAATCGACATTTTTTAAGTCTAGAAGCCTTTCTACAAAAGGAGTGAAAGATACAAGGACCTTTTTCACTTTATTGTGGTTGAGAAGGTTAAATATTTATATGTAAATATGTCTGGGGCCTGTAAATAAATATAAGTACAATATGTCTTTCTGGTGTAAATATGTTGAATATGTCACACAAAGCTGCACCTGCTTAGCACGTCTGTTAGCTAATCTTAGCCTCCCAGCGTGGCTAATTATATCACTGCGGACTAATCCTCTTATCCCAAGAAAATCTCAGCCGTGAACGCCAGCACCCCGTTATCATTTTATTAATATGCACTTTCTTATTAATACATCGTTATCACTATTTGCACTTTATACACTGAAGTCAAGGCATTTGGCTAAAAAAAGAACAGACAGGGGGGGAGGGAACAGGAAGAATGTTTTCTCTTTCTTTTTAAAAAGCTCTGGTCATTTATAGTAACATCCGATACGTTCAGAAAGATTAAGAGGGGAAGCAACTACAACAGTGGCATCCAAACAGACACTTCCAGGGCATCTGGCTGATTGAGTCACTTCATTAGAGCCTTCACAGCCAGCCGAACCCCTTCATAAGCTCTGATGTCAGACCTGGACCCTTCGGGTACTTCACTCATGTGCTGAAATCTTTCCGCAGCATTTAACGTGCAATGTTTAAACTTTTTCAACCCGCCTGAAGGCCAACAACCAAACCGTTTCATATGAAACAGTCTCGTGACACATCTTGTGATTTCGTAGAGCTTGTATCCGAATGACACCAGAGGAAGTCCCTTCAGCCGTCTGCAACTGTAACCTCTTGTGCCTTCAGGACACGAAATGCACAATAAGTGTCTTGGTACTGTGTCACAGTTCTATACGTGTACCCATTTGGCAAATAAAGTTTGAAAACATAACAGAAATAAAAAAGATATAATTAAGTGATGAATTGTTGATAAAGACGGGGCACAGCATGCTCTTCAATAATGGGTACGTAAAGAAGCAAAATGATCTGAGGATGAACTCCAGCTCTGTGGTTTGGCTTTAAAATAATATGATCATTAAGATAATTATGATCATTAAGATAATCATCATAATCGATGACATGGGGTAAACAAGAAAACCATAGTTAGACAGACAGTTTGCAGAATCAAACCATTAAATTATAGCCATTTTGATTAAATGTTTATGAATAATTGGTCAAAGCACAATACTGAGCAACTTGTTGCTCTCGCTCTCTCTATACAAAGTGGGAATTTAAGATAATTTATTCTTTCATTTGGACAGAATTCGACATCTTCATTCTTCACTGAATTGTCGAATTAAGATCAAGAGTCCGTGGCTTGGGAATAGTCTGTGCTAATCTGAGCGGCTCCCAGGCCTCCATCAAAGTGTCACTTTGAAAGTGAAGTCTGTCCTTCAAATACGTCGTCTTAGTCCAGCTTTAGTTTCACTTCCCCTCATTCCGTGTGCTTTCCCCCCCCTCCTCTTAGCTGCTTCTCTTTTCTTCAAGCGAAGAAGACAACAAAGATGATGAAGAAGACCACGAGGACGAGAAAGATCTTGATCATCAGCCAGCGGTTGGAGGAGACTGACTGGAAGTATTTGAGGATCTCTGTGTGGGCGGACTCCACGTTGAGCTGGGTGTCCTCCACGTTAGCGTCGATCCTGTGAGAGAAGGACGACAGCAGGTTCAGTTGTTAAACAGATGCTAATTATCTTAACAATCATACCTTTTCTATCAGATCAGGTGATAAATGACAAGTTATATATGCGACTCAGAGTTCCTTTATTATATCTATATATTCCTATACGAGTCCATTGCTCCGTCTAACCTCTGGATGGTCTCCTCTTGCTCCTTGACCATGTGTGCCAGCTGCTGGAATATAGAGCCCAGCTCCACAATGGTGCTCTCGATGTTCTGCATGGTGTCTGCACGGCTCTGGATGTACGAGTCCTGTAACGGCACAGCAAGCAAGATCTCAGAAAGGGCCACATTACAGCACATGAAACGCACACGTTCCTCTCCGTGTGCCTGACTTTGACGAATATGCACCAACAGTCTACCTGCTCATCAATAAGCTGGAGTTGCATGGGATTGGTCTGAGAGTCCATATCGATGGCTACGTCGCCCATACTCCTGGACTCATCCTGCATCAGGACCGAGCTCTCTGAAGGGAGACAACAAGCAAAACACGCACGTGTTGAACAAGATCAGACAGAGATCCTCAGTGGTAGAGGGGGAAAACAGAAAGAACAGCGGGCACATACAGTAGCTAGTTTATACCCGCTGGGAGAGTCAAGCGTTCCCGGGAAATACCTTTTAAATTTGAGGTTGTATTGCCCCGGTAACCATTGCGCGGCTCACGAGCTGCATGCGGCTCCTGGGCCCCTTTTTTGCGGCTCCCTAAAATATTTTTTAATTTTTGCATTATAGATGACCAAATACAATAATAAATCATTCACAAGGACTTTGATCAGTTCCCAATCACAACAGCTGTTAGGAAAGTACACTGCCAGTCAAAATCTTTCTGTACATCTGTACATACAGTCAGGATGTATTTAAATTAACCGGTAATTATGAGCAAATCTGCCTCCACAAGTGTTCCAAAGACGTAAACATTTCTATTCAAGTACCTGTTTCTGGCAACCACTTTAATCATCATAGTATAATATGTATGTTATTAAAAGGTTAAGGCTGGACTGTTGTACTCTAATGTCTGCTAATTACAGCGATAATAATCAAACTCATTTCCAATTAGTTGTTGGTTATTTCAAATATATTTCAAAAATAAAATATTACAAACATTTTTAATTCACAGATCAATTCATTCCCTAGAATTTATTGTAGGACATCGACAGTGAGCACAGTGTTTGAGGTTTTACCAAAAACGCTGAAATAAAGCTTGTTCATAAACATTTCACTGGCAGTGTAAACGCCCCCAGAGGAAGCATCTGAGCTCGCTAAAGGACAACATTTGGCTATTTGTTTTAAAAAATGGTAAACTGAGCAGGAGCCAGACATGACGATTATTGCCTCCGAGCCAAAACAAATACTCAATAAAAAGGTGTGGTCACTCTATTACTCTTTTTGTTAGATGAAGAGGTTATAATAGGATGTAATTTGTGCTCCATGTTAAGGTTACACCAGTTAGTAAGAAACGTTTACCTTTCACCCTCGTCTGTGCTTTAAGAGATTATGTTTAGGTTGTGATTTGAATGAGCTGCGTTTAGTGTTTAATCAGCACAAAATGTGGCTGAGGCTAAACTTTTCCCACAAACAATAATCAGTAAAGAGTGAACACGCCCCTTTATGAAGCTGCAACATCATGCTGTGTTGACCTGTTGGTGCCGTTACTTTACTGCGATACAATAGTAACAATCCTAGCGAGCGACAACAAGTGTGAAGCTAAGACGTGGACGGACTCACTGAAGTTGTTGGCCATCAGAGGAGAAGACGAGACCGGGGGCTGTGAGAACTGCTCTCTCCTGCTGCGCTGCTGCTTCAGGTTCTGCAGGAAAAAGGGACAAACGATGGAGGAGGTAAACACGACGGTACCCGATTCAAACATTGTTAGTATCGTCTGCCTCGATTAATGATAGAAGTAAGACAAACATCTCTCACCTCTGTTCTGACTTCTAGGACTGACTTGAAGTCATTGGACATTGAGGCCAGTTTGGACTGTAGACAACAACAGATACAGCAGAGTTAAACAAAGTGCAGCTGAATTCATCTGTGAACAAGAACTCTAAAACCATTTTCTGATGCCATTTTATACGAGATACAACACTATTTATACTAACATTTTATTAAAAGTATGCACTGTCCATTTAATTGTGTATGAACAAAAGCACATGATTAAAAGGTTCAAGAAAACAAAACAAATATGTTAATAATCAAGAATATTTTAAATAAATAATAGGCAAAGTCACGAGGAACTTGGACTCTATGCACATACAATATAGTATGAATTGGACCGTATTGAATGTACCTGTAATGACACCACTATGGTGTTAGAGTGGGTTTGGATGTGTCGGCCACCTGGAGCTGCGCGGGACCTCACCAAGTCCTGCAGCTGTGCAATCTGTTTGTTTAGACTGTTGATGTCCTAAAAACACCAGAGACAGAAAACCGGGTGTATAGTTTTACAAGACAACACAGATAATATATAAACAATGCACATGTTTGCAAAACCACATTTCATGGGAATTTAACAATTCAACTCACTTGTTTAATGATGTACGTCAGCTCCTCGATCTCCACGGCCTTGTCGTCAAACAGAGATTTTCTTTTTGCCACTAAAACGTTATAAGAACAGCATTTAGAATCAGCACTTTCAACAATATGACACCAAAATAGATGATTTACACTAAAATAATATTAAAAGGAAGACTTACATATAGTGAGCTTTTCCAGTTTGGCAAATGTGTTGCTCAAGTCTTTTCCAATTCTCCTACAAGGAAACAAAAAACAAAAATGTAGCTTTCTTTGTCATACACATACTAACTAAAAGGAGTACTCCAACAAGTTATTTTATACGCGTCTTTGCATTCCTACAGGAAAGAAGATTATATAAATTGTATCTCTGTGCTGTGTGTCTCCCTGCTTACAGTCTTTGTGCTTTGCTCCGCCAAACTAACCCTGAACCAGCTTCTCCACTAAAAATGTTTTTCAATCTTCATGCAATAAGGATGAGGAGATAATAATATGTGAAAGCAAATAAGGCAACACCCAAAATCACCATAAAAGAACAAGTACATTTTGCAAACATGTACGAGCTGGTGATACACATGAGAAGACAGACTATGAGGAACTTACTTGGCCATAACTGTGAAGTCACTGCGCTGCCTGAGCGCGCTGTGAATCGGTTTACTGGGCTGGACTCCATTCTGTCAGGAGACGTAGAGAGAGAGAGAAACATTAAAACGAGGCTGAGCAGCAACTGTGAAAACATGGCTACAGAAATCCTCAACATTGATTTAAGAGTAATCAATCGATCAAGTGACAGGGAATTAACCAACATGTTTATGGTGTCGACGGGTAACTTCTGGTTAAAGTCCATCTGACACTGGATTATTGAGGATGATGCCAATGGTGATGTTTAAGGATTTAAAAAACACATAAATTGGCCAATATCGCCATTTTGACAAATAACAAACAAGCAAGTTTAATAAGGATCCCCTTGGACAAATAACTGTGACCATCATATGCACTGAGTGTAACATTCAGTTCTCTCTGGTAAACAGACTGAGACTACCCCAAACACATCTCTGGCATTCCCTATACTGCAACTCCTTGTTTTACATCAGCCAACACAGACATCAGTACCTCTGTGATAACTAAGATCTGCTAATACATTGGCACAGCGGGTTGATTTCCTTTCATTGCTATTTTAGAGATTGGAAATCATATGTTGTCACCACTTCGGGATTTACAGTAAAAACACGACTGAAAGAAGACAACAAGAACACCTACGTGTGCTTCACTTGACCCAAAGAGACTATTGCAATAGGGAACAAAAACTAGCCACAGAGAGAGAAGCAAACATGGAACCAAAAGCAAAAGTCACCAAACACAAATTCATCTGAGCGACTAAAAACTACACATCAGCGTAATTGTGATTTAAATGTTGGGACTAATTTTACACGAAGTGATCTGTGTTTGTGCTGCGATGAGTCAACGTACCGGTCTGCCCTGGAGGGATTTACAGGCTGACTGGAACTCGAGGGTCCGGTCACGGCACGTCATCTTGCCGACGGCAAAAGGGTCACCAGCCGGCTCTAGAGAGCAGAAACCACCCGGGACTACCGGGTCACCTTTTCTTCTTCTGGTCCGGTGTGATGAATAAATATAGGAAGACCTCCCAAAAACTCACATCCAAGGCGGAGTTTCCTTCATGGGCATATGTACACACATGTCTGCAGTGACGGGAACAGACGTGTCAAGACAACTTGTTAGCTGACCGTTTGAAATGTAACTGATAAATTAACACATTTTTGATGTTACGTTAGATAGTCTGTACTGTTGGCCAACAGCAGGGTTCTCTGACACTAACAACTAAGAGGTCGACTAAATCACAATAAACAGACAGTATATAACTGTCACAGCTCACAAGTAAAGCCACAGGTGAGTTAAACACACATATCATGAGGTAACAATGCTTGTGTGGGTAAAGGCCGTCCATCACGACACACAGCTGATCACGGCCTGACCCGGCTAACACACAAGCTAACTGTTAGCTTCAGAGAGCTAACCGGGCTTCCCGTGCGGTCTCTCCTGCTCTACCTTTGTTAAATTCGACCTAAACTAACCACGTGAGGTTAAATCATATTTAAACGACACCAAACCGATCAGTTCCTACTCACTTGAATTGATATTACATCATATTTCGGGAGCACCTCGACGTTTCTGGTTTGAACTAATCAACACCCAGGAGTTTAAGTTCCGATCCGGGTAGTTTCCGGCACCGACGTCACTGCCACGTCTACTTTACCGAGGCAGAAAATCCCTGTTGGTGCAACACTTCACCACCAGGGGGCGCCACAACTCCTGTTTGTAGTTTAGTTTCATCCCATAGTGTATACATTATTTAGTTTATATATATAAATTAAGTGAAGGAGGACAGTACATCAAAAAAAAACTACAAAATGTCAAAATAAAGTCTAAAACAGGAAGAATACAAGAGAATACAGGAGCCCAGGTGAATATAGGGGACATCCTATTAGCAGCAAACCAATGAAATAAATAGCCAACCTAAATTATCATCAATAAAATAAAGGACTCCAAGTCAAACAAGACTTTCAAGACTTAAATTTGCCACTTTTGTTGTGATGGTGGCCTAATTTTTTATTGTGCAGTGATATCTTATTTTAAATCCTAGAACCCAGAAGAAATAGTAGCTAGGCCCATAGTAACCCTCATTCCTGCACACAATGTCTAAGCGCAGTGTAAGCACAGTATAAACTGAAATAATTAAGGTCTTGAAACACAGGGACACGGAGTCTCAAGATCAGGTTCTAACCCTCCTAATGGTCGTTATAATGCCAGTTTAGTGTGCTTAAGAAGTACATTTTCCTGTATTCCCAAACAAAGCAACAATCACTTGCCAAACAGTTGACTTTCATCTGAAGCTTTGCAGTCTTTGGGGTTTTGGGGTCTGAGGCCCTGGATCCAGCCTTGCCAGTAGCACAAAACCTCAAAGAACAAGTATCCATGTTGGTATTTGACAATTGGCAAACACAAGTTGGCAACAATAGAACTTGTATAGTTTTGGTTGGTTCATTTGTCAGCTTCTTTCCTCACCTCCAAACACTCATCTCTAAATAAACATCTTCGGTCTTCTGTCATCTCCAGAGTTAAGTGGGAGATGAAATATCATCCACAGGATGTAGAATAAAAACTTTATTTGCTAAATTTGTTTCAGCATACAAGGAATTTGACTCCAGTTTTCATGAGTTGTCAGTATACTTATCCACTTTGTCTAGATTTGAGCATCATCCACTATAAGAGATGTTGGAGCCTAATGGTGGAACAAACATTGAACAGTAATACTGTATGCTATTAAACCTAAATTATTAACAGAGAAACATATAAGTGCACTCATAGAATAAGAGGAACAAAATGATCAATTGGTCACTTCAGGCTGATGCCTGCTGAAACCAAAACATGATCATTAGTCATTAGTGATGTGATGCTGATGTAGAACTGAACCTTTGAGTTTTTTGAGAGGGAGCAGAGGAGGAATGAACAGACGGACAGACAGAGGATGTGATTGGCTGCTGGCTCAGGTGAGTCGACCTGCAGGTACGGTATGGACAGAGAGATAACATCCAGCAGGCTCTCTGATCTGCTCTGACTCCTACGGGTACCCGCATCCTCCACCTGACAGGCTCCAGCGCGACCAGACCACAACTATGCCTTCGCCTCTTTACCTGCTAGACCCCAAACCACAAAATCCCTCCACCCGCCCCCCATGCCCTGCACCATTCATCTACGCTCCCTTTCACCTTTTATACCTCCCTATAATCCACCATACTTATCTCTTACTCTGAGACACCTACCTCTATGCTTTCACACATATTTGATCTCTTTGCTGAACATCAGGACAGAACAGAACAGTTTCTCATTTTTATCTCTTTTCTTTATGTGCATTACCTTCAATTGTTAAGCTAAATCTCATTTCATCATATATTGTTTATATGTTTATCTACGCTGTGGCTCTATGAATGACTATGTCGGTTGGTTGGGCGGTCCACTACATGCCATGAAACGTTGTACAGACATTCATGTTCCCCAGAGGATGAACCCTGCTGACTTTGGTGATCCACTGACGTTTCCTCTAGTGTCACTATGAGGTTTGTGGATTTGAGTAAAATGTTTCAACAACTATTGGATGGGTTGCCATGAAATTGGGTACACACACACACACACACACACACACACACACACACACACACACACAC